TCTATAAATATTGTTGCTGTTGCCGTAGCCTTGGGAACAGCGACGGCAACAGGAACGACCGAGTTGCGAAATCTCCCTAATACCCTGGGTTTACAGTCCTGTTAGTTTGGCAGAGTAAGCTTCCATATACTCCAACATCCACAGCGCAGTTTTACGCTAGTAATCTGTCCACCTTGCATTTGACATTGTGAAACCAAACTACTGTATACAAACCACGTCACGGTCGGCTTGCTACGAATTGAGATTTGTATAGACGCACTGCCCAGACCTTAATACAGTTTGGCGAAATCACAAGCTTTTTGGTGTGTTCGTGGTCACAGCGGTTGTATATCGAGCTCGATGTGTTGTGATAAGTTAACTTCATTTTCAACAAGTATTGCAGAAAAGCGCAGAGCCTGCAATAGGGCGGCAGATTGACATCCCAAACATGTCAGTTTTGACACACTTTGCATTTCTACTTGCTCTTTATCCTCGTTCCTTCCTCAGTTGGTTGTTGTGGACGATAACTCGATTTGGAGGCTGACTCTACAACTGAATGCTCTCAACACTCGCGACATACTACACTACACAAAAGGTGGATGTTGAAAACTCTTTCGACAACAGTCTCGTGGACATTTACCGTGAAGCTCGCAATGCACGCCAACGTTAAATTACCGATGAGTGACCACACAAGAGTGAGCAAAGTGTACCGGTAGGAGTTTGAGCAACATTAAGTCTTTTACGTGAAAGCAAGCGGCCTTATGCGAAATACAGAAACGATGCGAAATACAGAAACGCAGTCCGGTGCCGTGATGAATCATAGAATGGAGGCTCTATGTAAGCGCAGAAGAGATATGTGGTATGCACTTCAATATATGACTTCTACATATATACACTTAGGTGAACTAGCCGCGATATGCACCTTGACTTGGCACTCGAAAGCAGCATGACGCGAGGCTCTATGGGCCATGCCTCGGTCGACGCTCACATTAAACCAATTGGCCAATCATATCCAAGGAATCTAACATTATGACCAATCAGTATCTGTACGATGGCGGTCGTGCAAATTCCAATCACAATACAGCAATTTCAAAATGGAGGACGCTCCGTCAGGTTCCTCGTTGCCCAGCGAGAAATCTCTAGCCAGGCACGTCGTGCACGTGGAGCGCAACATGCTGAGTCGCTTGCTGTATCCGAATCCAGTGTGCTTGCTGAGTGTGGCAGATCCATCGTCGTACACGCGGAACGTCATGACTGTGACTTGGCTCACCCCCATCAACAACCACGTACGTAATACCCATTCATCAAAGCCTGTGCATCGTTCAATGACGGGTCGGTTGTCAGGGTAAGTTCATTTGCTCGATCAATTGCAATCGCCACACGGCGACCTTTATCAACGAGGTTGGGCGACATTTTGGTGCGTAGCATACATACTACGTCCACACTGCCGCAAAAGCTAACCACTGTCCATAGTGCTGAACATCCCCACGGCGCAACAACAGGCCCTCGTGCTCGCCATCGGCGGGTGCTCGGGTGCAACTACTGACAAGTTTTCGTCGTTGAACATTGAAACGTGCGATTTTGCATGCCCTCGACCGTTGAAACGCAAGCTGCATGGAATGTCCAAGAAGGATCTGGCGGCTGTCGACATTGCCGACTCCGCCGCATCCTGTGTGGCCTTGGTACCGTCTTCCTGCCTCCTAGTTTACGTATTCATGGGCCATGTAGAAGGACTGCATTGCGCATGTTCTGTGCCGAGTGCACAAGGTCGACGTCGACGACGGGCACTACATCATCACGGGCGTCCAACTCGCGGCGAACGCCGACGCGCGGTACTGGAATGGAAAGACATTTGGATCTACATCACCATTAGACCCGCCGTACTTGACATTTTTGGGCTCAAAAGTGTTTGGCCAAGTCACCGTGTTGGATGATGATACTGCCTCAGCTATGACTTAGTAGTACTGTAACACGCTCGAATTGTATGAGAATATCGTGTTAAGTTTTGGGCGCTGGTGGATGTAGTTTACGGTAAACCCTTACTTGAAAAGCTTGTTGAGAAATCCTTTCTAAGCCCTTGTATTTCTAATTGTTTTATTTTTATTTTAATAGAATGAATAAATATTTTTAACTTTTTTTATAAAATATGAAATTATTTTAAATTCATGTAAAATTTTCTTTTTATAGAATTAATATTTGTAAGATTGACCCTTGTACTTGACCTTGCCGTGTTTGTTCACTTTGATGTGGCCGCCTTGGCCTCCGACGTACACGCCAGGCTGTTGGATATACATGGGCTGTTGGCCGTACTGACCCGGCTGAGCATACGCCACGCCCGACTGTTGCTGCGGCGGATATTGCAGTTGGGTGGGGGGATGGGATGGGATACCCTTGCTGCGGAGGATTGCCTTGTGGGGGGTACCCTTGATGTTGAGGTGGGTATTTGGCTGCAGGACGGTACTGGCCAGGGGGGTATGGCCCAGGTTGCTGGGGATACTGCTGGCCGCCTTGGAACGGAGGTTGTTGTTGGCTCATGGTGGTAATTTGGTAATGACGATGTTGAGGTCCTGGGTCGTCCTGGGATGACGTCAAGTGACACGAAATATTTGAAGTATTATATCCATTACTCTTGTATTGTTGTGTTTTACTGCCTTTTTGAGTGCTAAAACCGTATGAATTGAGCCGACTATACTCATATTTTGGGTCACTAGAATACAATTGTATCGTTATCCTGTTCATACACACGAACGTTGCAATGGTTAGTATGTGTACTACTTGCTGACAGTGAGCTCACCACAATCCACAGCATTCACCGCAACCTTCGATTCACACAGCAGTGCTTCCTTCTGTGACAGTGCGTGTTATCAGGGTAAATTCATTTGCTCGATCGAAAGCTACTCAACGCAACGGGATGTCTAACAAAGGTCTGGTGACTGTCGACGACATTGCCGACTCTGTCACATCTTGTGTTGCCTTGGTACCACCTATCTACGCTCGCGGTACTGGAATACGTTCGGATGTGTATATCAAAAGACTTGACGTTGTGGGGTTCGACAGCGTTTGGCCAAATCACAATGTTGAACGCGTCGACTGGAGTTCACATTCAATCGCATCGTGTTGATCTGGGTGCTTACGCCGACTAAGTTACGTTTAAAAGTTACTTGAAAAACCCCTTGTGCTTGCGACCACGGTTCTTGTACCCCTTGAAGCCCTTGAACCCTTTGTGGCCCTTGTACTTGACCTTACCGTGCTTGCCCACTTTCATGTGGCCGCCTTGGCCTCCGTGAAACACGCCTGGTTGTTGGACATACACGGGCTGTTGACCGTACTGACCCGGCTGGACGTACGCCACGCCTGGCTGCTGGCCGTAGTACGGCTGTTGAGGTGGATATTGCGGTTGGGCATACCCTTGCTGCGGAGGGTAACCAGGCTGTGCGTATCCTGGCTGTTGAGGAGGGTACCCTGGCTGCTGGTACCCTTGGTGAGGAGGGTAACCTTGTTGAGGGGGGTAGCCTTGCTGTGGGTATCCCGGCTGTGGGTACCCTTGTTGAGGATAGGACTGTGGAGGATAGCTCGGTTGTGCGGCTTGCTGGGGTGGGTATTGACCTGGAGGAGGATGCTGTCCAGGCGGGTATTGACCCGGCGGAGGTTGCTGTCCAGGCGGATACTGGCCAGGAGGATGTTGTTGTCCAGGCGGGTATTGCCCCGGCGGAGGTTGCTGTCCAGGCGGGTATTGCCCCGGCGGAGGTTGCTGTCCAGGCGGGTATTGCCCCGGTGGAGGTTGCTGGCCGGGCTGCTGACCAGGCTGCTGAGGGTACTGCTGACCTGCGAACGGAGGTTGCTGATGCATGATGGCAATTAGCAAATGACGACAAAAGGGGCGGCCTAACGCGAAGGGCAAAGTCAAGTGACACGAAATATTTTAATTAATGCTCTTCCGCAATTTGACATTTTAATTGCGTTTTGCTTGACCACATCAGGTTAAAGCTACGAAGAGGCATATTTACTCAGTATATTTTGGGTCACTGAACTCAGCATAATGTTCATTTTCTTACATGTACAGTATTCAAAACTCATTTATTTATGTTACTTCCAAGTCATGTCTATTTGAAAAAGCCAAAACCAAACCCCTTGTTCTTGTACCCTCCCCTGTACATGCCACCTCCGTACATGCCACCTCCCATCATACCTCCACCAACGTATCCAGGGCCGCCATAAATCACACCAGGCTGCTGCACATACATCGGTTGCTGGATGAACCCCGGCTGTTGCATGATCACTGTTGGAGGCTGCATCATCACCGGCGGCGCTTGAGCGTATTGAATCGGCGGCGGCTGCGCATAGTACGGCTGCTGTTGTGGAGCGTACTGTTGTGGAGGGTACTGCTGCGGAGGGTACTGCTGCGGAGGGTACTGTTGCGGAGGGTATTGCTGCGGAGGGTACTGCTGGGGAGGGTACTGCTGCTGCGGCGGGTACTGCCCTGGGAGATACTGGCCAGGTCTGTTGGGGTCTTGCATGTTGATCTGTCAACCACCTTTGCGAAAGTGAATTCACTGGGGCGAAATTAGTTCGGCCAGGCACGGCGTTAGGTTTATGCCACAGATTTAGGTAGTTGAATTCGGATATATCCTAATCTTAAACACGTTAATCTTCATTTTGTATACAACGTAGCGTTAAACTCGTTCTGAGTCTTTGAGACGATATAAAACGCATTGCTGTACTGCAACCAAAGGTTACTAATTAGGAGTTTACGAGTGAATTTGCACGTATTTACATTACGTCCCTTGGTGGTTGCAATAGACTTGTGTATTCAGCGTTAGGTCTCCATTAGCGTTATAGAGACCTCAGGAAGCATGATGGAAGGTTAGTATGTAGTTGCGTGATTAATGCTACACAACGCCAGATCCAAGCCGGGAAATGGCGGCGGCGGCTACTTGAACCACTTGAACCCTTTGCGCTTGAATCCCTTGAGTTTGAAACCCTTGCGTTTGTGCTTGTACTTGATTTTTCCGTGCTTGCCCATCTTCACATGGCCGTGGGGGGCTCCATAATACACCCCCGGTTGTTGCACATACACTGGTTGTGCTTGTGCATAGCCTGGTTGGACATAGCCGGGATGGGGTGCTGGAATGTACTGCACGGGCGCAGGGGCTGTAGCGGACTGGAACAAAGCGCGTCCTTGCTGGGCGTAGTACTGCTGCTGTGCGTACTGCGTCGGCTGTGGCGGCGGGTACGCCTGCGGTGGGATCCGTTGAGGTGGATACTGTTGCGGTGGGTATTGCGCTGGCACGCCTTGTTGAGCTGGTGGGTACTGACCCGGAGGGTACTGACCTGGAGGGTATTGACCTGGAGGATACTGACCCGGCTGCGGCGGGTACTGCTGCCCTGGATATGGAGGGGGTTGCTGATACATCCTCCTCAAGCAGAACAACGAGCGATTGAGGTCGACGCAAGGAGCGAAAGTCACATTCACTCTTACAGAAGTATGTACAGCTGATCCAAAATCCGGAGTTTTATCCGGAAGATATGTTGAAAGTAGTTTCATAATATGGAATATTTCACCTGGCCACCGATATATTTCGACGGCCACCCTTTGCAACCTGTAAACTGTAAACCAAGCAAGCAGTATATATGTAATTCGACCAACTATCGTTAAATTTCTAACAGCAAATTTCAGTTTTCGTCAATATATTTCACCAAGAAGGCGATATATTTCGACTAATAATGTCCCCTACTGGCTCTCAATTGCGCGCTTCCATCGTAGTACTGGACCTAGCGTCATTCTGGAAGGAGCAGGCAGCACTGCTCCACCCCCGCCGAACGTCGACGTCTTGAACAACATGAGGTAAGAACCTGTTGCACCCTACTGCACCGACGCTGTCCTTGTAAGTGCTATGTTTGTGTCTCATAGGAATCCCGTACGACATGTCATTTGGACTGGAAATAGTGTTGCTGATGGATGCTGTCAATCATATACACGAAGTGGCAAGAATCTGAAGCTCCCAAACACACCGCTACCGGTACCTTCAGCTAAACAGCTTGCCGATGTCCGATCATCGTGCTGCGAGCGCCACCATCGGCTGTGAAAAGGACGACCACACTGTTGTTCATTCATGAATGCCTAGTTTTCAGGTGGGCGAAATCGAGTGTACTGCTTATATGTTCCACTAGTCCCTGAGGAAATAAATACTAGTTACGGCGACTGATAGGCAAGCAGAAGTATACAAGTATTAGATTTCTACGGCTCTAACGACGTCCAGTGTGCCACTTCCACAAGATGAACGTAAACAACGCCTGCAGCACCAACGCGTACGCGACCAACACGAGCATGTACCCGTCGACATTGACGTCTTCAACGTCGAATCGCTTGAGAATCGCCCGAGACGCGGTCGTGTTCATGGGTTTGAATTGCTTGAACATGAACGCTTTGAACGAGTAGCTGTGGAATGCAACGTAATGCACCCACCGCCAGCCCGCGGGGATCGACTGGTACGGCACCATGAAGCCTTCGACGAGCATAAACATACCAAACACTCCGGCGCCCAAGGCAATGCCGATGATATAGTGGGGCGCCGTCGCGCCCAGCACGTGCATGAGGGACTCGGCCACGACCAAGCTCAAAAACAGGTTCAGCACAAAGTACCCGAACGAGTTGAGCCCGGCGAGCCCCACGACAATGGCGGACGACACCACCGCGATGACCAAGATGCCAGGCAGTGCCGCCAAAAAGTTGGCCACGACATAACTGCCGACGCTAAGCGAGTTGTTGGCGCGCTCGCGGTTGAACACGACGCGCTGCTCGATGAAGAAAGGCAGCACGGCCACGCTCATAAACACAAGGAACGCCTGGACGTAAAACAGCAGCGCCGTCAGGTCTTGCTCGCTCGTGTTGTCCACGTACACGCTGCCGACCATGAGCGACAGCATGATGTACATGACGAGGCGCACGCCGTACACGCCGGGGTTGCGCACGTTGTTGACTGAGTTGCGGTGCAACAGCATCTTGAGCTGGTCCAGCGCCGACGGCCGCAGGTCCGTGGAGAAAATTGCCTTGGGAAACGCGAGGCTGCCGAGGCATTCCCGGTCCTTTTGGATGGCGGCACGCAGCATCTTGTGCATATCGCTGGCGGCAAACCCCTTGGCGATCACGGCGGGGTGTTCGTGGCCGTCAAAGTCAGTATTGACGAGCTGGAGAAAGAACTCGCCTGGGTTGGTGAACGGCGGACACGGGTGGCCAAGGTTGGCAAAGTGGGCTATCGAGAGCTGCGGCGACCCGAAGTACGCGGTGCGGCCTTGCGACAGAATCATGACGTTGTCAAAGAGGTTGAACACCGCCGAGCTGGGCTGGTGGATCGTGCACACGATCGTGCGGTTCTGCTTGGCCAGCTTGGCGATGTACTGGACCAGCGCAAACGTGGACGCCGAGTCCAACCCGGACGTGGGCTCGTCTAGCAATAGGATCGTGGGGTGACTGAGCAGCTCGATGGCGATGCTGAGGCGACGCTTTTGGCCGCCAGAGAGGCCCTTGCGGAAGATGTCGCCGACGATCGTGTCCTCGCACGAGCGCAACCCCATGTCGCTGATGGCTTGCTGGACTCGACTTTCGCACTCCATGGCCGACACCGTCGACGCCACGCTGAGCTTGGCGGCGTACCGAAGGGTTTCCAGCACCGTGAACGAACCCAAGAGCGAGTCTTCTTGGGCCACGTACGACGCGAGCAGGCGGAAGTGCTTGTCGCGAGGCTTGCCGTTGACGTCAATGTCACCCGAGATCTTGCCACTCGACACGCGGTCGGCGAGGATGTCCAGCAGCGTCGTCTTGCCACTGCCCGACGGACCCAGGATGGCGGTGACTTGGCCAGGCGCAGAACGGCCGCTGATGTCGCGCAAAATGCGTTTGTTAACCTTACCGGCGGTCACTTTGAAGTTGAGGTTGTCCCAGCTCAGTGTGCATGGGTGGAGCGGGGCCGAGTCGGCACTGACGTCGAGGAAAGCAGCGTCGATGGCCATGTTTGGTTGTCAGGGATGTTCGAAGAAAGTTGATCAATGGAAGCAGCGACCCTCGCTCGATCCATCCGTCAACTTTCGATTGATCACATGCGTTCGAAACCGATCAATTTTCGATGGTTTGGGCATTGGTGTACACATACGTTATCCTATTTCAAATCATGGACACGGCAGGATGACATGGATTTTCCCTACTGGAACTTAATCCATATACAATTGTGAAGTAAATACCTTTGAACTGATTTAAATGTCAGTATGTGAGGCGTTGATGCTTGTCATTCCTCCTTGCAAAAAAATATATAAGCTCTGACGAGTCCTCCGTGGACAAAACGATGCTATCCTGCAATCTGCACTTTACGGAGCCTGTTTTGAGCAGCAATATCTCGGCTGTCGTGGCCATTCAAATTCAAATGGCACAGAGGTTCACACTGTCTTGCCCCTGAAATCACCACTTAAACGCGAGATCTGGTCAAGAAGGTCGCACATTGAATATATGTTCTTTCATCCGTACGTAAACTAAGCTCTTGGTCGTACATCATGGGATATTCCTGTATGAGCATAAATGGTGGACACGTGAATATTCAGAACACCCTGTTCTGTTAGAGAACACCCCCACTGCCCTGAGCAAGCAGCAGCGTCTGCTGGCCGTTTAGAGGCTTTTCCTCGGGTAGAAGTCAGCACAGACATCTCATCACGGAACGTCATAGGATTCGTGGCCAATCATAGCCTAGTTTCTGATCGGCTGTTTCAACGCAGTCAGAAGTAATTCACTTCCAGTTCTCCCTTCTGCTGCTCACTACAGTCTGCTCCTGCCCTCTCCACTTGAACAAAGTACTCCTATACACTCAAAGCACCCCCCCTGAACTCCTTGTACGCTACTTGTAGTACCTCGCGCCACCAGTGAGGTTGTCGTCCTGAGACTAAAATCTCGAGTCAGCTGACGTTATTGCCAGCTGTGAAGTTAAATTTTGAAGTTTAGTTGCTTGATTTTTTCAAATGAAGTCAACTTGTTCTAACTGGAAAACGTCATTCCTTGAACTCGTCATTTGATTGGCCACGAAAAGGGTAAGTTCACCAATGGGAGTTTGCATTTGCAGCTATTTCGTGGCCATAACCAATACCAAAGTGGCTTAAACTCAATGAGTAAGGAAACTAACTCTCTACCTGACAAGTAGAGATCCCAACGGCATTTTGCCTTGGCAATTTATGTGGGACACGGAATGGTCAGCGCAGATGTCCTCTACTTTGGGACACCTAGTGCTAGCTGGTCCCCTCATACTAACTACTAACGTAGATGGCCAGTTCATGGTGCACGGGACAGTTTAAGGTGCACTGAAATTGGTCAATGGAATTGCTTGATTTTTGGAGTAGCCAATCGAATCACTAGAAAAATGAAATCACTAAAAAATAAGCAAAAACAGCGTACATATTTTAAGCTTAAACCGTGCACCATAAACCGTCCCTCCTATTTTGCCTTGACTTGAGGGGAATGGAAGTAAATGAACGCTAAGCTGAAGCCTATTCAAGCCGATTAAATAATCAGAAGAATGCCCAACCTTTCGGCTTTATGCAGCACTTTTCAGAATTGAAATCCCGGTCCTGGGAGACGAGTAAGCTGCATTCTACGACGAAGTCTCTTTCAAGTGCACCATAAACTGGCCATCTACGTTACTACTAGTAGTACTAGTACATCAGTACGTGCACCAAACCACGTCACACATAAACAAAAGTCGTCATATTTAGGCTGACTGGAATGTGCATGTCCTACGCTGGGGGGATCTTCTATCTAAAGCGCTTGACGCCAAGGTTGATGAGGGTTTTCACCCCACGCAGCCACTCCTTGTGCTGGGCCCAGTCGGTCGTGGTCAGAGACGTGTGAATCTGTCCGGCGGCGCGGAAGTCTTGACGCGCAAATGCTAGCACCATATCATGCAAGCTCTTGACCACATTCGGAGCCAATTCGCCCGTGTTGAGCTTGGTGAAGAGCAAATCCTTGCTCTTTTGGATCTCGGGCAGCTGCTTCGCTTCAATCTGTGCAACAAAAACCGTGAAAAACGTCCATCCTACTGCCATATTCAAACACAAAACGTACAGGGGACAGCTGGGAGCCTTCCAACAGCGCCACGAGGTCGTTGAAGCCCCTGACAATGGGCAAATCTTCCGCCGACACGTTGTCCGTGGCACCGAGCACGACGGCCGGGGCGGCCGCCACCGGCGCGGGACTCGGCTGGTTGTGGAAGCCAGCCGCCTTTTCCTTCTCTGTAGGGGACAAGATGGCGTTGGTCGAGTTGCCATACTTGCGGATCAGGTCCTTGTTGCCGACACTGCTGACAAACCCGTCGGCTTTGCCCTTGGAGATGTCGACGGGGATGGTGGAAATGCGGGACGACGGATTCGGCAGCGCGGCGGCCGCGGGGGGCGCAAATCCGCCGTGGGCAGGCGGCGCGCTTCCTTGCTGCGGCGCGCCAAACCCGACGCCGGGCGCATTGTACGCAGGGACTGCCGCCGGGGGAGGAGGCGCGGCGGCAGCGTACCCTTGAGGCTGCTGCGCTTGGAACCCCCCAGAGCTAGAAGCAGGGCCGCCGTAGCCTGGAGTGGGAACTGCGGAAGGGGCGCGGTACGGCGCACCGGGTGCACCAGCGCCATAGGCAGGGGTCGGCGCTCCGTACGTAGGTGCAGGAGCTCCATACCCCGCGCCTTGGGTGGGTGCAGCACCATACCCTTGAGGTGCAGGGGGGGTTGTGCCATACGCTGGAGTAGGTGTGCCACCGTAAGCAGCAGTAGGTGCAGGCGACGAGCCATAAGCGCTGGGGGCGCCATACCCACCCACGGCAGCAGGAGCGTTAGGTCCGTACTGCGACGGGTACGCCGAAGGAGTGGTTTGGGTGTTGTAAGCAGGAGTCGCAGGAGTGGGGTACGCCGTGGCTTGGGCGTTATAGCCCGAATTCGCGTACTGTTGTTGTTGCGGCTGTTGGTATTGAGGAGTAGCTCCGTAGGCAGCAGGTTGAGGAGCAGCTCCATATCCTCCACGGGAAGCTCCAGTCGCAGCAGGAGCTTGTTGGCCGTACGCCGCGGTCGCTGGAGCCTGGTACTGGCCGCGGGGGTTGGCAGGAGCTGCTGCCTGCTCTGTAAACGGCGACGGCGGCGGACGGACTTGGGGGTTGGGGGCGGCGTGGTAGATGCGGTCTCGGATGATCGCGCAGCTTACGTCGGCATACTTGGCGTACCGTCCGGCAATATCGAGTCGCCCTTGTCCTGCCATCTACAGCCAAGCTCCGTGAATATCATCCACTCAACGAGGGAAACATGTAAGTACCAGCGACGCATACGCAGCAAACTGGCTCGCAACTTGGGGGTTCAATTCTTGGTCCGGGTTGTCCGACGCTTGGGCAAAGATGGACACCTTTTCGATCAAATCCTGCAGCACCAGCACCGAATCTCTTGTTTTCGACTCGATCGCCGCCTCCTTGACCCACGCCGTGACTGTCTTCTCCACGTTGAACGAGCACATGTAGCACAGCGTGGCCGACGCGACATCGCCGAGCGCTTCCAATTTCGCCGCCAGTTGGTCCACGAGCACCCCAAACTCGTCGCCGGTCGCATATGTCGTGAGGATGGCGAGGGTTTCCGTCCACTGGTGGCCGTCCGAGTCGGCGACGAGCGCCGCCAAGTCGCGCTTCATCATGGCCTTGACGATCTTCATAAACGGCCGCGCCTTGCCCGCCGCCAAGCACGCTTCCTGGGTCTTAACCCACAGCTCCTCGCCGCCTTGGCATGCCAACAGGAGCGCGTCCGCCAGCTGAAAGTTGGCTAAGCACACATCCACAGCCGCGTCAAAATCGCCCACGAGAAGCAGCCGCTTGATGATGCTCTCCGACGCTTCCGTGTACGTCGGCCCCTGTGCCCCTTGAATCCGCTCGCTCGTGTCGATTGGGATGGCGCCTGCTTTCTTTGGCGGTGTGTGAGGAGGCGTGAGGTCCGGCGGCGGTGGCGCAGCGCCAAACACATCCGCGGCGCTCACCTAGTGGAAAAAGACTCCAATGAAAACCCCTGGCATCACGACACTCATACAAGTGCGTACATACCGTTGGTTGGGCTTGGGGAGGAGGTAGAGGGGCGGGCGTGTCGGCGGCTTCCAACGGCTCGTCCTTGCCCAAGTACGTTCGTGCGTCGGCTTTGATCTGGTTGCTGTCGTAGCCCAAGTGCAAAAGCAGCTGCGTTCGAGCCGACGCCCGATCAAACAGGATCTTCATAAAGCTCCACGTCGCCTTGTCCGCTGGCGTCTTGGCGCTGGCCACTTTGGCATCGCAGTGCCGTTGAAAGTCCTTCTGGGCTAATGCTTGCTCCAACAAGTCGGCGCCAGCTACAATCGACGGGTCGCTCGAGATCTTGTGGATGTGCACGGGGCGGAACTCCTTGGGCTGGCCATATTGCTGTTGTTGTTGAGGAGTGGACGATCGGGCGTTTGTGACCACCAGTTTCCCGCCAAACCCAAACGAAGCACTCACTGGCCGCGTTGACCACTTGGGCGCGCGGGTGGCGCCCGTGCCACTGCCCGTGAGTCCCCACACTTGGACCTTGCCGTCGAATGTACATGCCGACGCCACGGCCGGGATCTTGGGCGACCACTGGACGTTGAACCGGCGTTGGCCGCCCCCGCCGCCCGAGAAGAACGAACCGCCCACGGGTTGGGTAGGGACGTTCGACGGCAGTTCGAAGAACGGCTGCCCCGTGAAGAGGTCCCACAGCAACGTGCGATTGTCCTTGGCACTGGACAAGACAAAGCCTACAGTAGACAGAGTTGAGTTGGCATGGCGATGACGAGTGAGTGATGGAGGATGGACGGACGTACCAGCATCGTTGGGGCACCACGACATGGACAGAATGCCCGCCGTGTGGCCGTGCAGTTCGGCGAGCGGCGTGGACGTCGACGATCGAAGATCCCACAGACGCAGCACGGGGCGCTGGTCGTCCGAGGACGCTGTGATGATGTGCAGGCCTTCGTTCGGGTTCCACGCGACGCAAGACACGGGAGAGCGAGACATGTCCTTGAGCTCGCAGAAAGGTTTCTTGGACTTCATGTCCCACACCACTGTCGAACCGTTCTGGGACCCGCTCGCGAGAATGTGCGCGACTTGAGTGTTCCACGCCAAGCTGGAATGAGGGAGATGAAAATACGATCATGGAGAGAAGGCATGTACCATGTGATTTCGTTGCCGGGGGTCGCTGTGTAGTTGGGGCCGCCAGGAGTGTACACTTGAGGGGCGTTCAGCTTGTCCAGGGACATCACATACACTTCACCATCGCCACCGCCGGACGCCAACAGGTGCGACATCTCTGGGTGTGGGTTGAACTGCACGGCGTTCACAGGTCCCTTGTGTCGCGACACTTTGCCGACTTCAGCAGGCGCGTTCGCCGCGATCTTGGACGGGTCCCAAATGTTGACTGTTCCGTCGGCCATCCCACCCGCCAACACACCAAGTTCCATGGAACTTTGATGACGTACGACATCTGCCCATGAGAGCGACAAGAAGCGCGACGATGTCTTGATACTCCCGAGTTGGATCGGGGCCGGGCTGACGTCGGCAAAGTCCATCGACATGAGCTGCAGTTCACCCCCGTAACTCTCGAAGCCGACACCGACGCCATCCTTGGACCCAAGGGCAATCAAGTTGCTTCTGTGCTTGATGGGACTCCATGCCACCGTTGCAGACGCATTCACTTCCTTGAGCAACGACATGGCTTCCAAAATGAGATGGAAACGAAGGTTAAACCTGTCCTTACAAACTCCAAGATATTATTTCGAATTTTTACGTCACTGTAAATTAGTTGCCTGCCAGCCCCAGGCCGCCCACGTACGGCTTCCAATTGGTCAGATTGTAACCAATCAAAACGTGCTTCGTCAAGCCTGCCTGACCTCGATGGCACGATTAGATTGGCTGTAAAGAATCCATTTTTCCACCAATCCGATGTCGATTCAGCGATCTCTACCGTTACGATGTGGGGTCCCGGCAGGAAGACATACATGCTGAGATCAAGATAAAATTTGGATCTGGTGTTGATGGTACAGCACAAATTGAACCACTTTGAATGTAACAAACGCAACGCAGCTTGCCTAGCTCACCGTAGACATTACACTTGAAGGTGTCATTGTATGTCCCTCACGACTCGACGCAGTCAATCTATCGAGGATGAAGCAAAGGGTCGAGCGATGTGACAAATGTACCTAAACCCGCTCGACGTTGGAAACAAGGTGAAGGTTGAATAGTAAGCGTCATATCATTAGTGTGGTCGCCGTCTCCTGCGATTGACCCGTAGAATGTTGGTCACGGTAGCAAGATCGATACGAGGGGTAACAAAACTAAAGTAAAAAAATGCACCGGTTCTAAGCTGAGGTGGGGGTTTGTTAATGAATATAATTTTGGGTTGTTGACCCACTTCCGCAGAATTTGACTGCTCGACGACACGATGGCGACGCCAGGCTTGATCAGCAAGCAGCAGTCTACGCAGGAGAACGTGGAGAACATGCCCATCAACGTGGGGGACTCCGTGTGGGTGCCTGGAGCCGACCAAGTATGGGAGCTGGGCTCCGTCATGGCCATCGGGGGGCTCAAGGTCACTGTGCGCAACTCACACAACAAGGTAGCGCAAGTGGACCGCGGCCTGTCCTTGCCACAAAACCCGCGCGTCACCGACGACATGACTGCCCTCTACTTTATCCATGAGCCCGGTGTCCTGCACAACCTGTCGGAACGTTCCAAGCTCGACGGACAGCGCCCGTACACATTTATGGCGAACGTACTCATCGCCGTGAACCCCCTGCGCCCCCTCGCCGACCCGCGCATCAGCGAGATCGTCAACAACTCCAACTGTCCTCCGCATCCGTACGCTATCGCGGAAATGGCGTACCAGCAAATGGTGTACAACTCCACCCGCGAAATGCCGACGAACCAGTCGGTGGTGATCTCCGGCGAGGTACTTTCTCCATGGTCTATCCCATCTCCCGTTTCTTATACAATGTGTGTGTGAGTAGTCTGGGGCGGGAAAGACCGAGTCGTCCAAGATCGTGCTCAAGCACTTGACCACCCGCGGTGTGTTTGGCAAGAAGGCCACCCCCGCGCAAGTCGACGAGTTCGCCGCGGCGCGTCACGACAACTCGAACTCGTTGGACAACCGTTTGATCGAGCAGAACCCGATCCTGGAAGCGTTTGGGAACGCCAAGACGTTGCGCAACCACAACTCGTCGCGCTTTGGCAAGTTCATGAAGCTCCAGTTCACGTCGGATGGCACGTTCAAGCTCGCGGGGGCGTTCGTGGAGACGTACTTGCTGGAAAAGTCGCGGTTGGTGTACCAGGTGTGCCTGCCACCCCTCTACCATACAACGATGTGTTTATCGGGTCTGTAGGTGGACGGCGAGCGCAACTTTCACATTTTCTACCAACTGCTCCAAGGCGGGTCGGTGCAGTCGAAGGCCGAGTTTAAGCTCACGAGGCCCCAAGACTACCACTACTTGAACCAGAGCAACTGCTACGTGGCCGAGGACACGAACGACAAGGCCAACTACAACGCCGTCGTGCACGGGCTGAGCTGCGTCGGCATGGACAACGCAAAGCAGCACACCATCTTCTCAATCGTCGCGGGGTTGCTGCACATGGGTAACATTGAGTTTGACGAAGAAGATACGGCGGAAGGCGAGGCCGCCATCGTCCAAACGACCGCCGCGGTGCACGCGCTGACGACGGCGGCGGCCCTTCTCGGGCTCGACGCCAAGGCCATGCTCAAGGTCATCACGGAGCGCGAGATCGTCACACGCGGGGAGCTGTTTGTCGTGCGCCGGAACGCCCAGAACGCCGTGTATGCCCGCGACGCGATTGCCAAGTCGATTTACGGGCGATTGTTTGACTGGATCATTTCGCAAGTGAACATTTCGCTGGGGCAGGACCCGCAGCCGCTGCCGTACATTGGCGTGCTCGACATCTTTGGGTTCGAGTCGTTTCAGCGCAACGACTTTGAGCAGTTGCTGATCAACTACACGAACGAAGTGCTCCAGCGCACGTTCAACAACCAAGTGTTTATCGCAGAAATGGAGCTGTACAAGCGCGAAGGCATCACGGTGGGGCGCATCGACTGGCCAGACAACCGCGAGTGCGTCGAGCTGATTGCGTCGAAACCCACGGGTATCCTCCAGCTGCTGGACAACGAGGCGGCGAACCCGAAACCGACCGACGCCAAGTTCCTGGCATTGCTGCATCGCACACACGACAAGAACCCGTTCTTCCCTCGCCCCCATCCCAAGGACATGCAGGAGATGTTCATCGTGCGCCACTTTGCCGGGTGTGTGAGCTACACCGTCGGCGCGTTCATCGACAAGAACAACGACACGATCCCCAAGGACATGGCGGACCTGTTCCTGTCGTCGTCGTTTCCAGTCGTGCGCGACTTGTTTGCCGAAGAAGCCAACGAAAAAGCGGTCGCGCCCGGCAAGAAGAAGACCCTCAAGAGCGTCGCGGCGAAATTCACCAAGCAAATGCAGGAACTGGTCGATACCCTCGACGGCACGCGGTGCAACTTTATCCGGTGCATCAAACCGAACGCACTCATGAAGGTCGGGTACTTTGACCCGCGGTACGTGGTCGGCCAGCTGCGGTGCCAGGGCATCATGCAGACCGCGCAGGTGCTCAAGGTGGGTCTGCCCACCCGCGTCGCGTACAGCGAACTGGTCGGCGCGTACAAAAAGTACATGCCGCCGGACGCCCAGCGGCTGTTTTCGCAGCAGAGCGACGCGACCTTGATCACGGCGATCCTGTGGGCGTTTCAAGTTCCGAATGACTCGTTCAAGCTCGGGATCTCCAAGTTGTTCTTCAAGGCGGGCAAGATCAGCCTCCTCGACGCGATCCTCAAGTTGAACTGGAACACGGACGGACCGCGCATCGTCGGGCGCATGAAGCTGTGGCTCGCGCGCCGCCGGTGGCGCGTGGCGTTGGCCAAGGTCCAGTCGCAGCTCGAGTTGAAGTCCATGCTGCGTCGGATCCAGTACCGCAAGGACGCGGTGCGTCGGATCCAGATCTGGTGGCGAGGGTTCTCGGTGCGCCATCAGTTCCTCAAGCAAAAGGCGGCGGCGGTCACGATCCAATCCGTGTTCCGGGGCCACAAGGGCCGCCAAGCGTTCAAGGTGAAGAAGGTCGAGATGATCGCCGCCGCCAACGCCCGCGCCGAAGAGAGCCGCCGCCAGGCCGAAGAGGCCAAGCGGGCCCAGGAAGCCGCCCAGCGCGCCGCGGAAGAAGCGCGCCGACAGGCGGACCAGGCGCTTCGGGAAGCCCAACTCCGCGCCGTGGCGGACGAAGAGCGGCGCAGGATGGAGGAGGACGCCAAGCGCGCCGAAGCCGAAGCCATCGCCCTCGCCCGCGCCGCCGAAGTGGCGGTCCGGGAGGCGGAACTGGCGGCGACGGAAGCGGCGGCGGCCGTCGAGCACGAGCGCCAGGCCGAGCGCAAGGCGATGCAGGAAGCGCACGACTTGGAGATGCGCATGATCCGCGAGCGCGAAGAAGCGCAGAAGCGCAAGGAGCAGGCACTCCTGGATGCGGCGGCGCTGTCGGCGGGTCTCCTGGGCGGACTAGCCACCGTGAACGCGATGAACTCGACACAAGGGCGCAACGTGAGCGTGGTGGAGATCCCAGAAAACATCAGCGCCGAAAACAAGGAGCAGCTCAAGCAACTGAACGAGCTGCTGCTGTCTGGCGCGATCGACCAGGCCGAGTACGAGGAGCTGATTCCGTTCTTGCTGGAAGCGCCCCAAGACCACGCGCCCGCCGCCGGCCCCGTGCTCACCGCCGAAGAGCAAGAGTCGCTCAACCGGCTCTACAACACCCAAATCTACGGTATTCAAATCCGATGCCCGGCGTGCGGCGTGAGCAACAACACGGCCAACGGCAACAACTGCACGGAATGTGGCAGCATGCTCACGGCGGCTGCCGGCGAACATGGGTCGGCCGCCGACCATCGGTACGATACATGTACAAATATCGACTGGAAACGTATGGCTATCAACTGCGTGGATGGTTGCCAACTCTTGTCGATTGGTGGAGATGGAAGCTAGCCTGACTTGATTGGGACTGGATGGTGGTAGCTAGCTAGATTGCTCAATCGTATGTGTGGCCATAGGTACTATGGCGCCCGTACGCGATCCATGTCGACGCTGGCGCTGAGCACGCCGCCGGGGACGTTTACCATGGACGGCGCGCGCGTATCGATCCATGGCGGGTTCTTCCAGTGCGGCATGCATGGCACGCAGATGCTCCAGGATGAAAACTACGCAGAGTACACTGTGTACGTGCTTCGGTGTGGGTGGCAGCCCAAGGAGTCGAGTGCCCCGACGTACTGGCTCATTTCGCACCGGTTTTCCGTGTTTGAGAAGCTGCACAAGGACCTCAAGCACAAGATCCCGCCCACGGTGGCGGCGCTGCCGTCGTTCCCCCGCAAGCATCGGCTGGGGGGCATGTTTGCCGGTCGCACGGGCAACTCGAACGAGATTGTCGAGGAGCGCAAGCAGGGCCTCGAGCGCTACATGAACGAAGTGATTGACATTTGCGCGCGGCTGCCGAGTACGCTGGCGGTGCCGGAACTGGACCGATTCCTCAACCTGTCGCGCCAAGTGCAGCAGATTCAGCGCCAGCTGGGCATGTTGGCGGGCATCGAAGGCGGCGTGCAGCCGTCCAACGTGCACTTGGAAGGGGCGGAAGCACTCGCGGCGCGCGAACAAGCGCGGTTGCCGACAGAGCTGCCGACCCCGCTGGACGAAGAAGAGCTCGGGCAGACCGAGGAGGCGGTGCATGTGCTGCTGAGTGCGATCCGCAACGCCCAAGGCGACTTGCGGCGCAACCAGGAGGTGCAGACGCTGCTCAAGGTGTGTGTCCAGTTGCAGCCGCGGCTCCAAATGAGTGCTAATTTGGACAACCCGTTTGCCAACGTCGAGCTCATCCCCCGTGCGATGCAGTGCCAAGAGGACCTGGAAACTACCATCGGCTTGTACAATGACTCGCTGCTGGCGGTCACGGAGACGTACACGATCTCTGGGGCAAACCAGCCGCCGGCGCCGTTTGTCCCAGGCCAAACCAACTCGTACCAGCGCTCGTACGGGTATTAGGTATGTTCAGCGTGCGGGCATCGTGGGGCTGTTTCAAAGGCAGGACTGCACCGATCGATGTATGTATATGACGACGACCTGGACCAGAGTGGGAGGAGGAGTACTCAATTGGCCTTTGATGTGTCTTGAATACATGTATTGCATTTTCACTGTGGTTTTGAAGGGAGGTGCAATTCATTCAGTTGAGGGTATAGATAGAGGAGCTAGGCTGTTCTGAAGCGATATAGTATTCGCCCGACTCGATGGAGCCACTGCTCGATGCGTTGTCGTCCGGCGGCGCTGGCACAAAGAGCGTCTGCAGCTGGCCTTCCTCGAGGGAGGACTGGGAAGATTGCGGGGACGGACGTTGCCCATGTCGTCGGGGGTTGTGGAGGTGGTAGTAGGTCGTATGGGCAGGTCCGCCGTCCACTTCGCCGTCGCTGAGCGCGTCCACGTGCATCACTTCACCTTCCGACATCAAGTCTTCGTCGCTACGGCAACTCACTCGATTAGACAGGTCTAGATGCCAATATATACGTACATCAAGTCATCGTGGTCGACACTGCTGCTGGCAATGCTGCAACTGGACGATCGAACACTACGAGGCACGACGGGAAGCGTTGGTTTGGGGCCCAATGCATACATCTTGGTGCCTGGTGGTTCATCACGTTGATGGGCTGGAGATGGTGTCGGCTGTTGTTCTTGTGCTAATGGGGTACACGGTTGCCATGGATTGGTTGGATGCCGACCCACAGGAGACACTGGAGGAGGCGGCGGGGGCGGTAGATGGTCGTGATGCTGCGGAGGACGAGGGGACATGGGCGGTGGCGGTGGTGGCGGAGGTACGGTGTTGCGCAAACGAATGGCTCGCATGCGTCGAAGCGTGGCCGCCAGGGACGTTGGCGGCGTGTCGTCCACTTGTACGTTGCACTCACCAATGGCGTCACAATGGAGCAATTTCCCAAGCAACGTTTTCCCTGGTAAATCGGCCAAATTCCGAATGAGTTTGTCCTCCGCCATCTCCTTAACTGTCAACACTGGTGCAAACACATCAGTTAAGTCGGATGTGTCGGTGGCTTGCTCCATTTTGGACACTGGCACGATGTCAACCGCTTCCAACGGCACGGACGGAGGAACTTCTGCGACCTGTGAAGCATCGACATTGTCATGGGAGGAGTCGAGTGGTTCTACTGGCAATGGCGCCGCAGGTGATGGGGTTGGCTGGTGTTCCCGCATGTGCTGAAGCATGAAAGCCTTGACCAGGTCCACAACATGTGCTTCCGTGGTCACGGGATGCATCTCGACAGCTGAGGACTGAGTGGCCAACGCCGCTTGCATCCCATCCAGCCCCGTCGTCGCATCCTCGGGTGAGTCAAGTAGCAAGTGTTCTCGCATCAGTTCGCGAGCAAGTTCGCGCACAACCTACTCGTCAATGTCAGTAACCATGTCTACTACTAGTACTACTAGTACCTCTGGGTCGATGTCTGTAGTCTCGTCCATGCGCTGCATGATTCGAGCTGCCATCACATCCGGCAGCACTTGTTCAATGTCTAGCGAACCACCCCCTCCCCCTCCATCGTTCACGACAAGCGGCGCCCTGGGCTGGGGTAATGACGTTGTGCGGGTCTGCTTGGGTTGAGGGGGCTGCAAGTTGGCTTCCTTGGCAGCCAGCACGAACGCTCTGAACTGGTCAAAGTTGACGACACTGCGCTGCGACAAGGTTGCGGCTTGGTTGAAAAAAGTTGCGATACGGTGCGGCGGGACGTACACGTGCAAGCGGTGCAGACCGATGGACGTCTCCAGCTTGGACACAAACCCGTCGCGGTCGCCGTCCAAGTCATGGAAGAGCCGACGGAGAAACGGCAAGCTCCACATTGCATTCACGTCCGTGCCGTACCCAAAGGCGGCCGACGGCATGGACCGATGGCTGGACAGGACCTACATGGATGGACACAAGGGATATGATGATGTAAGGTGGACATGATGCGTACTTGCGGGCCAATGGAGGACGGTGGAGGCGGCAGGTTGGTTGGAGCAGCTGCTTGTACGGGGCGTGGCATGGTAGGTGGAGTAGGCGGACGAGGATGCTTGGACTCGTCAGGAGGTGGAGATGCCGATCGAGGATTCGAAGAAGATGATGTGTTTGTCGTCGGTGGTGGCGGTTCAAGCGGCTTGGGCTCGACGTGTGGCGATTCTGTGTGTTCAACGGGCAAGGATTTGGGCAATGGAGAGAGACGCGGCGAAGAGTGTTTCGTAGATTGGGACTGTGGCTGTGATGGCGTAATGAGAGGGATGCTGTTGGTCAATGGAAGTCGGTTGGTAGTTTTCGCAGGCGGCAGGTTGTTTGCTGCTTCCCACGGGAGGTCGACGGGAACTGGTGGCGCGGGCTTCGGTCGTGTCCAGGTCTACGTACCATGACCATGAGCGACCAACTGAAAGAAATGAAACTACCTTGCTTGGTGGCCGGACACTTGTTGATGGGGTCGTCTGGGTGGTACTGGGGCGTATGGTTGCGCTTACGTCGGACAATCGCCTACTCGACGATGCTTGTTGGGGCTTCGGTGTTGCTAGGGCAGCGACTCGACGAGGAAGGATATCTCCGCCATTTTCATGTGTATCGTCGTTGGAAGCTTCGGCGCGTTTGGCTTCTGCAGCCAGGAGCCGCTTGGTTCGTTCCTTTGGGTCCTTCATCCATGTCGCCACGTGGGCGATGCGGGTCGCGACGCTGCGTGAGATGTTCCCCACTCGCCATTCTGCCGGATCGTCGCTGTGCAACGTACCTAACGGCATGCTCATTCCCAGGCGCTTCTCGATCTCCCATGCTCGATCTGCCGTCGCTCGAAGCAGGGCATATTCGTTGTCCAAATCGATCATGCCCATATTGAAGATGCACAGATTGATTCGAAATTGTCGATTATATCCGGACATTATCCGGATGTCACCTTGGTGAGAAATGCCTGCCACCTTGTTTTCACTCCAGCTGCCAAGTCATGCTGATGTCGTCCGTCAATGCTACCGATCAGCACGCCCGCCTTGCGCATAGCTATGATGCTCCAGCTCAACCAACATGTATCCGTTGCAATGACCCCATATATTGCCTTTTAGCGACAGCTACAGTATCGCAGTCGCCCATTCCTACTCCTTGCACTGGCATCTCTATTTCCACCGATCCTCTCGACCTATCGCTCCATCGTGAACCTTGAGCACATAGATTGAACGACAAGCAATGCTTGCGGATTGACGACATGACACCAACGACTGTTTTTACAGCAAAAGGGGGAGGATGCAGACGAAAAAGAGCAGCGACTGTAATTACCACGGTATTATCGATGATATCATACAGTCAAGGCTCTCCTTGGGTGTCCCTTAAACGTTCCTTCGCAACACTGCAGCATCGGACGACATGCATGGGATAGAAACCTTCCAAGACTTCCCGCACATTCGCATCCGACGACTCGCCGGAGCTCTCTAACGGTACTACACACAATCCACGAGGCCAAATCAATATCTCCACCGTCCTTGGTCGTTACCTGCACCTGCAACACAAATGCTTACCTTGACGAAACCAATCTGGGTCGCACGTTCACGGAAGCAGCGACGGCACAAGTTCAAGCCGTATTTGCTGATCAAACCACGGGTCGTGCCGCAAGCACGGCAGTGCTTGGAGTCCTTGCCGTAGGTACGGGGGTGGGTGTAGGTCAGATTGGTCATACTGGATTAACTGTTTGCAGCTACGTACACATACAGCATCAACGCCCTGCGTCGAAGCGTTGCATGAGTTGTTACCTGTTGGAGGGCCGGGACGCAAATGAAGAGCTGCGTTCACCAATGATAGAAACAACCAATTCCAGCCAAGGATCAAATTGGCCAATCAAAACACCGTATGATTCTATTATCCGGACGAGGCCTATAAAGGTAAATGCAGCCGGGTATCCGGATACCGGGTCGTCAATATCAAGTTTCAGAGACAAAGCCGTTGCGCGGATGCAGGGCAAGGGCTACAAGGGCCGAGGAAGGACGGCCGCTGTGGCGGCGATCGCAAACAAGCAAGATGTAGGTGAATTCAACAACGCAGCAGCAACCGTCTTGGTAGAAGACATGGAGTCGATCGCAGATGAGTGTGCAGACGCGATGATCCTGCAGTACTTCATGGACTTTACCGACGACAACAAAGTGGAGGAGGCTGTGGTGGCCGAGGTTCCAGAGGAGCGGTCGCCGCCCAAGGAAGCAGCATCAAATGAAGAGGATTCATTGAGGAGGCTTAAGGAGAAACAGAACAAGCATCGCTTGAACAACATTCGCCACCGTCAACGAAAGCAGAGCGAGAACGACCACCTGCGCACCGAAGTGGTGGAACTCGAAGACAAGTTGAACGCCCTCAAGGCAAGTAGTGCGCGCCGAGGGGACCATCGAGGCAAGCGAGACGAGTCGGCTATTCGACAGCTCAAGGAACAGTCGCAAGCGGAGAAACGCAAGCGCACCGACACCGAAGACGAGCACGGGATCTTGCTGCGGACCGTGCATTCGCAGCGCGACCTCATTCAAATGTACTTTAAGCGCATCACCGCCACCCATTGCATGCATTCAAGCCACGTGGTACGTCCATCTTCGCTCCCCATAGTCCATCGTTGCTGTTCACATGCCGCGACGACGGTTAGATCCTCGAAAACGAACCTTTCCTCATGTACACGCTGATGGGATGCCGCGATGTCCGCGCCAACGGGTACGACTGGATCATGGGCCAGATGAAGCGCAAGATGGACGTGGCACTCACGTACTTGCATTCGTATGTGGGCAACCACATCGAAGAAGACACCAAGATCTACTTGGGCCACAACACGGTGGACCTGGTACGCAATCACATTTGGACGTTTCCGGCGCAGCAGGTCGCGCAGTCCAGCTGGGACTCGTTCACGCGCATCCAGTCGGACCCGACGGCCGCCCGCAAGACGCTGGTACGCCGCCATTCAACGCGTTAAAGGTCGAAATGGTGACCAATCATATGGTTTAGCGCCTCGAAGAAATCGACGCCAACACGTTTTACACGCGCATTATTATCGACGACGGCATCGTGCGCGGCAAGCCGCTGACCCTCAACATGCTCCAGAGGTCGATATATATATATATATTATTTATCTATTATTATATTATGTATATTGAATAACGACGTCACGTAGCCGGTTCATGGAGGGTAATCGATCGGTCATTGCGTTTCGAACAATCAGCGAAGACAACTTGTACCCCATCGAGTCGAATGGCATGTGCGATCTCAGTATCGCGGGATGGTAAATATAGTTCAATATCCCCATATATATATACTTTCCATAATCCATTGCAATTAGGATAAATATATATATATATTATTATTCTTTACGAGTTGTTGATTTATTAGAATAATATGTGGATTTTTGGTAGGCTGTCGTTTGAGCCGAATCCGGACGGCACGACCCACGCCAGAGTGTTTGTCAAGTTCCGGACCGACCATTCAAATGGCCAACAGACGGGGGAGTTGCTGAGCAACGCGGACGACGACGCCACGAACCACGACCTGACGGCCTCCCGATTTAAGAACCGAAAAACCCAGGCCAACCAGTGGATCATGAGCGTCATTTCCAAGATGTTCACGGCGGTCAACGGCACGACGAGGCAGTCCCTTCGCGCGCCCCCGCCCGCCACCACGAGCCTCACAGTGCTCAAGAAGCACGACGCGTTGAGAGATGTGTCCACGATCGGCGCGTGATATTATAAACTAGGAGTCGTTGTTAGGGTGGAATACTATATATTATATATATACAGCGTGTAAATAAATATCTGTCGACAAAGGAACGACGTGTGTGGGATACTGGGTACTTAGTAATTGGTTTCGATTATAAAACTAGGAATTGTTGTTAGGATGGGAAATATATTATACATATATATATACATACATCGTGTAAATAAATATCTGTCAAAGAAAACAACTTTTGTGAAACTGGATATTTTTTTCCCGATATATTTATATATATACCCATCGACAAACGAATTGGCAATGGACCCAACGCACGGTGGGGCCCTTAACCCTCGAATTGTTTGTTTGCGCCCCCCCCCCGACTTGCCGTTTCTAGTACTCTGGATTTATCGCTATTAATAGTATAAACAAAATACTCGGCGTGCGGAATCGGGAAAGCCAAGGACATTTTGTGACCTGTTTTACGAATCGCGCAGATACTGGGTAAATTTGTAGCAAATTCATAATATTAATATTGCATCCTCGATGATTGAAGATACAGTATGTACTAACTGCACTAGACTAGACCGCCGCCCACGTCACCATGGACAAACAGGTCCAGGTCTCGCGCAACGTCAAAGGCCGTGGGCCGCAGGGAAGCATCTGGGTGGAAGCACTGGTGCGCCAGCGCTCGGATGGCCGGCGGGCACGCCGCCGTCACAGCCGGCACGAGCCCTTCCTCGAGGATCAAGTGCATGATACGCTTGGCGGGCACGCCGATGTCGGCGTAGAGCGGGCGCTGGGTGTCCAGTTCGCACAGCACACACCCGAACGAGTACATGTCCGCCGACACCGAGTAGTACCCGCTGCGCAGGGCTTCAGGTGCCATGTAGAAGACGCTGCCGACCCCCGCGGTCAAGGTCTCGTCGTCCATGGCTTCCCTTGACACGCCAAAGCCAGACAACTTGGCGGACGGCCAGTCGAGCAAGATATTTTTGGGCTTTAAGTCTCTATGAATGACCTTGGGCTGGAGCAGACTGTGGAGGTACTGCAGCGCTCGCGCAACGTCGAGCGCGAGCGATGCCTTGAGGTCCCAGTGCAACGATGGGTTGTCGGTCAAGAAGCGCGAGAGATTCCCTTGCGAGAGGTACTCTGTGACCGCCATGAGCGACCCAAGCGACACGGAGTCCCACGCAAACCCCAACAGTGCGACGACGTTTGGGTGGTGGAACGACGCCATGAGACGGATCTCCTCGGCGAACGCGTCGACAATCTCGTCGTCATGGACGTGGTCCAGCGTGATCGTTTTGACCGCGACCACGAGCTTGTGGTTGTACCGGCCAAAGTATACTTTGCAGCGGATGCCCGTGGCCACTAGTTGGGTGGTCGTGATCGAGTCGAAGGGCAGGCGAAGGTGGCTTGGAACTTGATCGAGTTTGGCCAAGGCGGCCGATGGATTCACCTGGTCGAGTAGGTTACTATGAGACGGCGGCTGGAATGGATTCCTCGCCAGTGATGAGAGATGACTGGGGCGCGGGTGGTCTGTCGACGGACGATTGTGGTGTTGGGGATAATATGGTCCTGAAGGGGGGACGGTGGACGGGGTCGAGGGCGGCTGTTCATAAGGTTGAATGGCGGCTCCGTTTTGGACATTTGAGATAGAGTGAGCTGGGAGGGGTGGCGGGCGAGTGAATGGCCGCAACGCCGACGTGAATCCGTTCAAAGCCTGGCGTTGCTTCCACCTGCGATACAGGCACCACCCCAGCGCCACGAGGACGATAACAACACAGCCACCTGCGATGCTGCCAATCAAAGGAGCTGAGACTACTCGACCTGCATCTTGAGACGAGGATAACAGAGTTGCTGTAGTTGCTAACGACGTACGCATAGATGACAGCCACGACGCCATGGCTGGACTGGCAGTGGGTAAGCACGTGCTTGTGGTGTTGGCGGACCTAGAGCCACACAGTATGACCAACCCCACCGACTGGGAAACGAGTGGACAGGACAAAGTCGTTGAGGTGGCGGCGTCGATGAATGAGTGGATGGCAGGCCGAGCTGCGCCGGTCTCGTCGCGATGTAGAACCACTCGCAGCGATGGAATGTCGGAAGGAAGCAACGCGTCTTGGGAGTAGACGACGCTGGTCGTGGCGTTGGAGTTGGGCCATGGGGCGTCCGATATGGTACATCGAGTGAGGCGGTCCAGAGCTCCAAAGGACGCGACCGCGCCGACTTGACGCACGTACGTCACACCATGTGGCCCTAGGCAGTCGGTCGTGGGCAGCACTGTGCCAAGCGAGTTCTTCGAGATGGCAATATCACTCATGGACATCCCACATGAAACGTACACTTGTCCATATGAATCCTCGGAAGCCGATACCGCGCCCGAATCCCACAGGAGGGCGTGCTTGGCGTGCGGCGTCAACTGCGACCACCGTAAGTCCAGAGCTTCAAGCCGCTGGTGGACGTGGACTGGTGGCGGGATGGACGGAGCTATGACAGACACGTTCGCAGCCTCCAGTGCCTTGAAGCGACCCACGTAGTCTGAGCTCTCGAGCCATGTGGTCGACATGGTTGGGAACGAAACGTGGGATATCTCGTCGCGTTGGCCGCATCTCTCCATTTCATGTACATTGTCGACGGAATAATTTCCTGCTGGCCAGATGCTGTTTAAACAACGGACGTTGAAGTTCCTTTACACACGTTAAATGCAATAATCCGACGCCTTTTCATGAATGCTGTGTTTTGAAAAGTGGGATCAAGCAATCTCGTCAAATTGCACTGCACGAGGGGAGTATATTCGTTCGATCAGTACAATGTGACATTTCTTTCGCTCGGTCAGTTACACGTCTAACATATGTTAGTACATGGAGCTACAGTACATTAGTGGGTGTCAGAGTTGCCACAAGTTCGTGGCAACAAGTATAATAACAAAATTTGTTTTGATTGGTTGAAATAGAAATAATGCAATTGTCAGAAACTCTTGACAAGTCGACAAGTAACGAGTCTGGCAGGGAAAATGTTCGATTTCGAAGGATAGCATTTGAGAGGATCTAGATAGCGATTGGACAATCCAACCTCCACACCTGCAGCGACCAGACACCTCGATATGCACCACGCAAGGCAGCTTCCTCGAGAGCTGATGCCTCGACCGAGCGAACTATATCCAAGAGAGTTCTATCGACCAAAGATGCGATGGGCGACATAAAATCCAGCATGGATGCTGTGATTGCGTGGATGTCTCTGGAGACAAACTACGTGCGATGGAAAGGCGGCGACAAGCACAGCGGATCGACCAAGGCGTCTCTGGCCTCCGAGATTGTGTAACGGATCAAGAGCAACGGAATCCACCATTGTACAACCAAGGACGTCGTCCAGAAGATTGGCGACATCGAGCAATCGTATCGTTCTGCCTGCGATTGGCTTGCCAACACTGGGCAGGGCATCGTCGACGAGGACAGCACCCAAATAAAGGTACAACGGCTTTGTCCATACTACTATGTGCTGGACGAAGTGATGCGGGATCGTGCGTCGACAGCACCACTCATAACAAGTGACAACATGCAAGACGGTAGTTGGAACGATGAAGACGTTCCTCCGACTCCAGTCAATGCAATTCAGCCAAGAAGAGGACGGCGGCAGCGGCGAAGATGGACGACTGGAGCGAGATCAGTGCGCGTGCGTATGCGTTGAAGAAGGAACAGCTGGAGTTTACCCATGATGCGGAGAAGCAGAAGCTGGAAGTGGTCAAGCGACGCGAGGCCAGATTGACGGAGGAAACCAAACTCAATGTTCAGCTTTTGACGATCCAAGCCGAGGAAGCGCATTGGAAGTTCGAGCTTGCGCGTGAAACTGAAGAAGTTGATGCACGCATTCGAAAGATCCAAACACGAAAGGATCTAAAAGAACGGGGGTGGATTGATGTCGACATCAATTTAGCATGTCCAATGTAATAAACTCTTTGAATTGGAAAATTGAAAACGTAATTTGTTAAAAGCGGTAGCCCGTGTCAACAAGAACTTGTTCGACTATACTACTGCGTTTGTCACTCATCGCTCTCGATTGCGTCGCCATGTTCCACTGTAATGATGGGAAAACATACTCGACACCCACGCAAATCAGCATTGCAATTGCAGTTGACTTGTAGCTCGATCCACGATGCTGGGACAATGTCGTTCTCGGTGACCAAAATGTTGTGCAGGATTGATGCCGCAATGATTGTTTTGATGATGGACGTCATGGCAGCTTTTCGATCCATAATTTTGCGAATTCGTTTTAAATGTTGGAATCGGCCCTTCACATTCCAATGGAGTGCTCAGCTTTGATACGGCCTTTTGCAAGATGCGAATTAAACCACGATTTGTGATGTTCCATGGCCTGGTGAGTTTGGTTTTTGAATGGAGGTACCAGGCAAGTAGATATTTGGTACGCAGAATCACCCAACAAATATTGACTCCGATCAAAGTATTGCCTGGCAGGTTGAACAACTTGCTGTTGCGCCAAATTCGGTTGTCGTGAGTTGACCCAGGCCACCAGTGTAAATGTCGCGAATGATAGCGCGGTGGTCACAAACAATTTGAGCCGCTACAGCGTAGCACCCCTTGCGAGAGTAGTAGTCCTCACTATGCAACATGGGCTTGAACTCAAACGGAAAAAAGGTACCATCGATGAAACCAACGCAGTTCGAAAAGCCACACATACTTTTAACTTCGGCAGCAATTGAAAGGGTTTCGGCCAGTATATGAATTGACCACGCAGCAAAACAATGGCATCGGTGGTACGTCCAATGAATAGACTGACTGTGCCGGCACCAATGCCAAAGAACGACGCCATGTGCTCGTTCCAAACGGCATTTCCATTCGCTCCCATGTAGTTCAAGAACACGAGCAAGTGGTGGGACACTGGGCTTTTGGCGACTTTGCCACGCACGACCGCAAACACTGACGGTTGCTCAATAAGAGCGACGCTCCATCCGAAACAGCTTGCGGAAACGAGACTTCTTGATTTCGTACAAGAAATGGTGAAACCGTGTACGCGTGAATGGGTCGCAAGACCGCACGACAGAAAAACGCTGGTGCTTAATTGTGCGAAGTATGTGCAGGAGCTCGTGGTTCAGGTCATCTTCGTCACTGTCACTCTCATCAAACTGGTCGCGGCAAAGTCGCATGATCCGGCGACGTTCCACCTGAGAGCGTGTATGCCGCAAAGTGAGTTACCGGTCACTGATCTTCACCATCATGCTGCAATTTGTCGCTTGAACTTGTTGCCAGGGGTTTCACAGTACATATACACTCAGAGGTCTGCTATTGGCTATTATTAGAACTAGCTCGTAACTTGTCGCCTTGAACTTGTGGCAACTCTGACACCCACTATTATTGTTGTAGCTACCGTACAATGCGTAGCTACAACAATAATGTATTTCATGTACTGTACAGCCAAAGCTTGCTAACCTGTACAGTATTCAGTCATACTACTACCGTACACGTACAGTGGTTGCCGGTAAAACCCGGCCAGTGCAACTTTTGCCCATGACTTGAAAATACTATGTTCAGTGGTATGGCGCACAATCAAAATATAATGAAAATCACTTCGTGCAACTCCGTGAAGACGACATGTATTGGCTAAAACTAAAGTCAGTGAGTCCGGATAATGCGCGTCGCACGCGTCGCAAAACCGGATAACGCGCATATTCGAGTGTCCGCAACAATCTCACACAATACATGACCATCAAATTGTTATGAATTAAATCTCAAGTACTGATGGGATCGCTTTATCAAAGGCTTTCACAATCGTGTCTGTCGAAATACGATCCCAGACCTTAATCGTCCGTT